GTTGACATCAGTCTTGTGTTCTTTATCCACAAGATGAGATAGAATAGCGCTACGAATAGATTTTGTTTATCCTTTACTTAACCATACAGGGTTATGTTCTGAAATCCGACGAGAAACATGCCTAATTGTACGGCCTATGTGACTGGCTCCACAGAAGTCTGCATGAATATTTTCACTAAACTGAAATAAATCGAAGGTTATCAACATACAAGGTGGATTAACAGCATAATGATCCGATTCGCTAGAACTCATATTAGCATAGCAAAGAAAAAGATATAACAAGAAGGAAAAGTAAAGAAATGAGAAGTGTTATCACTAATCTATTAAAGACTGATTAGTGAACAAAGAATATTCTTCCTGGTAACTTCTTCATCAGTTCCTCCTGTCATATCACTAATTCTCAAGTGTCATAAGATAAGAATCATAAAAAGTAATTTGAATAATGAAATATGGCACTGAGATTAAAATGGTCATGAGAACTGAAGGCCTAGATTCTGACATATGCATTACTGATAATCTTAAACTGTCGATTATTGTGTGGATGCCTGCAAAACAGTCCTAAACTCCTATACAACGTTCAAAAAAACAACTGCCAACTATGTTGTCTAGAGATCTTTAGCTCGTTATAGCTTCAGCTAAAGTATGACGTTATGTTCAAACCACCAGTGCTGATGAATATTTAAAAACTTATTTCTCCTACGTAGAATCTTATGCCTAATCTCTACAGGCGTATGAGATACTACAGATACTACAATGATCAAATACGTCACAACTTCACATAGAAAGAAAGAAACACAATATATACACCAAGGGTAGCTCTGTGGCGTGTGCTACTGATAAGATTTATGAGTAGTATAGTAAGAGACGTTCATCGGTATAAAAACATCAAATAGCAGATAGATTTGATGTCAGAGAAAGCAAATGATACGGCGTCGCGGAGATGCATAGGAGAAACACAATATGAAGGAAGGCGAGAAGTAGCACAATACGGAAGATTTGTGCAAATGGTGCGTTGAAGATAAGGTGTACATAATTTGGCTATATAGAGATACCAAACTGCATATAAACATTCCTTTACCAAGTCCTTTGTCTTCTACAGTTACTGTCCAACATGCTAAGGTGTATGTTAAAACCTATTTTTACCAGTTGGCAATAGTTTTTTCTATTCAAAATATCCATTTTCAGACTACTTATTGGCCAACGAGTTTCAGTCAGAAAACCAGAAGGCAAAATACAAAGGGACTCCTTTTACTGACCAAAATTTGTGATAAAAGAAATAGTAACCTTCTTTCATAAATGTGATTTTTGATGACGAACATACTTTTGTATAGAACACCTCTAACACACACTTCCAATTTTTAAATTACCGTCAAAAACTATCGGAATATGAAAAATGTGGTCACTTCAGAATTAAATTTTTCAAGAAGTATATTAGAAAACGAGAATGAGGCATAATCTGAAGAAGATAAGCATTCAGATAAATACCTTAGTTGAAAACTTAATTTCAGGATAAACTATCTACTTCGATGACACATGTTCACCCGAACGGAAATTCACTTACCCATCATAGTCGTGCGTCGGTGGCACAGCAGTAGAATGGTCGCCAACCACGCCACATGTGGTTCAGGGTTCGATCCCCGGCCACAGACGCACTCCTTTACCTCACTAAGCCAGTAACAAGACTGGTAAAGAGGGAAGGTTGGTCGGGCATGAGGCTAGCAACCCCATCCTGTAAAAATAAACACCACTGCCACAGAAACTTCAAGCTGGCTCTAGCTTGAAGCCCTATGTTCCACTGGGAACGTGAAGGAATTAAAAAAATCATAGTTTTTCACGTTCCAGTTGTTAGACAAAAAGCAGAAATTCTGTCAGTACACTATATATATATATATATATATATATAAAATTTAGAATTACCTTTGAGAAGTGGATGAACCACATATGAATAAAGAATTCAGAAATTCCAATAGTGAAATTGTTGTCAGTCACCCTTATTTGATGGAATAAAGCAAACTTTTATCAAGAAATGATGGCTAACTTTTGAAGAAACTAGGTGATGAAGTTAATCATGAAGAGACTGTATATATATTACTCAATTGAGTCCATCATAGCTTACGATTAATGTACTACTTGCTAAAGATATCTACCGGATTTGTATTTATTTATTTATTATGAAACACTTCTAAAGTTTGAATAACGAGTATTTGAGTCAGTCAATCAGTTATATAATAATACTATCAATCTAATGATATTGAAAATGAATGCCACTTTTCTAATCTAATAATTGCATACTGATACACACATAATAAGTAAGATTGAACGTGTGATGCAACCCATTGCATAAAAATCTTACTGTATACAAGAAATTAGGTCATTATTTTGACAGCAATATAAATCACTGTTTAACGCTATTAGTTCACCTGTTATAACTGTGAGACATGATCATTGAAAGCTGAAGATATGAAAAGGCTAATTGACTTTAACCACAGATATGTGACTACTACCTCTTATGTCAAGTGGTTTAACATGATGAGTAATATTGAGAATAGGTCTAGTGTTAGGTAAAAGTTATTATTATTTAAACGCAGAAAAAACTTGGTACAATATGGCACCAAGAAAGATGCGCCACACAATAATAATAAAACAACATAGATTGAAGGTAAAAATATAAGTAGAAAACGGATAAAGAAGTTCATCTGGAAGGAAAACAGTCATGTTTAACAAGTTCAAATAGTATTCGTTAACTATCATCAGGAAGGGAAGAAAGAAGTTAATTGCAACACGTTCGCCATTGATTACGATTCTTGGCCATATCCGATAACGTTTCGAGCCATCGATTCGAGCTATCTAGCGGACCCCAACCAGGGAGTTGGGACGCACCAACCGATGCTAATCTAGCACAAAATCCTTCATCCCACGACGCCATGTCATGGACTAACCACCCCTCCGCCTTTTCCATCCCGTCCCGGGGCTAGCGAACAGAGACCTGTGCGGAAGCCTCTGGGATGACATTCGCAGCACATGTCCAAGCCACCGGAGCCAGTGTTTCCAGATGACGACACTCAAAGTGTTAGGTTAAGAGGACAAGTCAATCGATGAGGTTGTGAAGCTGCATCAATCGAGATGGCTAGGACATGTGTTACACATTCCCAGCCACCGCCTTCCTCAATAATCAATACTAACCGACATATGATTAGAGTTGGAAAACAGTTAACGCTAGTCAAATCAAAATCTTAAAGTATTGGTTTTGTAGGGATTTTGTTTGATTGCATGGAGGATTTCATCATGAGCTGACATCAGTTAGAGAACCACTGGAAAACCTGGGAGTACTGGACAGCTGTTTCGTCCTAGTTTGGGACTCTTCATCAGTACGCACCCACCGGGGTTCGAACCCAGGATGTCAGCTCATGATGAAATCCTCCATGCAATCAAATCAAAATCTGACATCAGTCCATGAAGTTTTTGACAGCTGGTTTGAACCAGCCATGTAGGGAGATGTAAACTACCTAGCTGGGGTCTTTGGGATGTTAAGAACTAATGGATGAACACTGCGCAGATGCATTCACTCTTTGTGACCTCCAAGATTTATCAAGTCTTCATGTTTTCTCACAGTGTTATACAGTATATATTTACTGATGATGACGTTTCGAGCACAATTTATTACTGCTCATAATCATATCAAGTTACTCACACAACTTTCTAACTTCTTTTATATAATTCCATTATTTTTCATCGCTTGATTTGATTGGTAGTAGTATTTTCCATATTTCAGGTATGAGTGATGAATCATTCCTATTACATGTGTTGGGTGTAGATTCGATGAACAAGGATTCAGTAATCAACCTCTCTCTCTCCACCTACCTATATTACTTTTTAGAATTTTAACCGTCTCCCACTCGATTTTGTGGTTGTGTGTTAACGCATTCAGTGCTATTGCTGAGTTCCTTTCTAAATTACTTATCTTCGTGGGATCAATCATCCTAACCTTAGCCACTAAATTCTTATGTTCTGACAGGCAATCTGACTACTCCCGATCTACTAGTTTGACCTATGTAGTTGACCTCACTCACAGTCATTCCAAGGTATTTCGTATATTACATTATTTTGTTTAATTGGGTCCACCGGGTCCTTTAGCCTACACAGCTTGCCCTACCTGAGTGAGTTTGTAGGTTTGAATGCCACCCTAATTCCTGCTTTGTTGAGAATCCTACGTAGGGCCTCAGATGTCCCCTCCTTATGTGGTAAAACTAATGTAGATGCCTTATATTCTCTCTTATTTATGTTATCATTATTAATTTCACCATTATTTCTTATCTTCCTAATGAATTTTATAGGATAGTTATTTGATACCAACGCTTCTTCTATGTCTTATTTCATCATTTAGGTCTTTTCTTGTATACTACTTAGTGCTACTGCTCGGTTTGTTAGACACTTAACTAACACTATTCTTTATCCCCTCACATTTCTGCTCATTATAATTCCTTGAATGTCTTTTTTTCCTCTCTTTAGTCTGTTCTGCACTTCTGTGTTGAAACTCAGTCAGTGTCAGTTTCACTGTAGCACATAACAGGAATGATGACTAGCTTTCACAGTAGCTATCAAATTTTTTTCTTTTTTTCCTTCACGTTCCCCAGTGGAACATAGGGCTTCAAGTTAGTGGCTTGAAGTTTCTGTAGCAGTGTTTATTCTACAGGATGGGGTTGCTAGCCTCATGCCCAACCTTTCCCCTTCACCAGCATTATTTCTGGCTTAGCGAGGTAAAGGAGTGTGTCGGCCAGGGATGGAACCCCTGACCATGTGCATCGTCGGCGAGCGTCCTAACCGCTATGCCACCGACGCACCTATCAAATTACATTTGATAAATATATTTCCAGACTATATACAAATAGACCCATAGTCATTCAGTTGATTCAAAAAACCAACCAATAAAAATCAAGTAGATGACATAATGACATAAAATTACATAATGAATGTTACACAATTTTTGAAATAAATCCTACCTGGTATACGTTAATGCATGTTGAATAATTTTTAATCCCAAATCATATTTTCTTTTGATAATACATACTCTGCACATGATACGTAGAACTTCAATAGTTACATAAGGAGATGGTGGTAAGCCTTGATTGAAACAAATCTCCAATTGTTCAATAGCCAATAGAGTGAAATGGTAAGCAACTTGATAATGACACATAGAATAATGATAAGTTGCAAGTTGTACATTTAAATATGCACTAGTAGATACGCATGTCTCAGGATTACCATCTAATAAATTGACAACCACTTCAGATGTGGAATAGACAGTTGGAAAGTAACACTAAGTGGGGAGAAAAAAAAGGGGAAAATTGAGCAGGCTCAAAATTTGAAAAAGCATATACAATAGGTACTTTGAAACACATGTAAAAATTGAAGAAAGATACAAATGATTTACATTAAAGTCTGGTCAAACAAATAGATTTTGTGCCTATTGTCACACACTTTAATGATAGTATAAGTGGGATTTAATAGAAATCCTAATGAAATGAAAATAAATTAATAGTAGTACAACTGGGAACTTGTCAGATTATTTTTCTCTGCACTGGATTTATATGTTGCACTCGCAGAGAAGGAAGGAATACAGCATAACACATTTGTGTTTTAAATTAGTCTTATAGTAGAAAGCTGTAAAGATAAGGCGAATTAGCAGACGATATTTTTCCATAGAGATAGACGAGATTTGCAGACGACAAATGGATCTTTTATACTTATAGGATGATTCTGTCACAGACCTGACCGATAGCTGCTACCTTGACGTGGTGGTCGGGCTTGCATATCGCAATGACCCAACAAGCTACACTGGCTGGAACTATTGTTTCTGTAGGTCCTGCCAGGAAGGTTGTTAGGATATCAATTAGACTAAAAGCAGTCACCGGCATAATGTAAGAATTTTCTTTAACACTCTGCTGGGGTCTGTGGGCGAAGTCGTACTGCTGGGGAATAGGGATGTAACAGCCACAGTAAGGTGTTTCCCTCAGATGACCAGCATGTCAGCCACATATGCTGTCTCTCCACTCTGGAGAGAGGGTTTAGAAAAGTTCGACCCCAAAAATTGTACATCCCGACTTACTCTACTTATTTTTACTTTACTTAGCTATCTCCTACGGGAGGATGAGCCGGCTTCATGAACATGAGTTCATGAAGTTTCATGGGAATTTGGTACGAGTGATGTCCCCAGAATCGCTCGGCCGTAGCTGGTGGTAAGTTACTAATACGGGACCAAACCAAAAAGCCAGTTCAGACAGACCGTGTGTGACCGGCCTCAAGCAGTTGTCCCCTGGGCTCTGCCATCACGCAACACTAACTCTCTTTCTGTTTCAGGTACCCGAAGAACCAATCAACTTCCACGGTGTGGGCAGCCAGGAAGTAACAACCACCCACACACTTCCAAGAGCACACGAAGCCTTCCTGAGCATCATTCTCCTTTACCCACATCACCATCATCTTATCCTCCTACTTATTCTGTCACAGATCTGTAAATCAGGAGTGACAGTGTAAGACAAGTTGCTAAGTTAGTCAAACGCAAAGAGTTACGAGTGAACTAGAATTCAGATATAGTTGCTCAAATGAATAGCCTAGCAACATTTCTTGTACTGTCAGCAGTAAATTAGGATGTAGAGAGAGAGAGACACGACATATTCGGCGCATTAGTTGAGACACTAAATTTTTAAGCAGTATGACCAAATCAAGTCCTGCTTTACTTTCTTCCGCCAAATGCTGTCATGCACTGAATGTACCCCGTACACTTTTTTACCAGGATTACATTACCACAACCTACAACCATTTACACAATTAAATCCACTAGGATGGACGCCGAATGTATTTAATGCGACTGAGTACATGTTTGCATGTAACGCTGCAAGTTAAATATGTTCTTAAAAGACGGCCGAACACGCCTACCGTACTAATTAAAATATTGCGAATGATATTTAAGCAGAGCACTAAATAATTTAAAACACAATGTTTAAATTAATCAAATATAAATTCATTCATATAAGAATAAAATTTGAACAGTGTAAAAGAACATAATTCAATAATAGAATAATCTACTTCAGATAACACAGTGATAAAGTATAATTTTTTTTGCTGATGACGACGCTTTGAGCACAATTCATTGCTTACAATCATGCAAGCGTACACACACGTAGCTTTCCGATTTGGTTAATATAGTACCACTATTTCCTATCTTTTGATTTTATTGGTAATAATTAATTTTTATATATATCCAGTAGTGATTCTGCATACGTGCATCCAGAAATGACGTAACACCAATACTGGAGATATGAAAAATATTATTACCAATAAAATCAACGAATAAGAAATCATAGTACTATGTAAACAAAGTCATGTGAATACGTTGATATGATTATGAATAATACATTGCGCTCAAAACGTCATCAGTGAGTCAATGATACTGTATCACTATTATATCGAACAAAATCCTATTATGGACGAATAACTCCACTCTGAACTTATATCATACAAGTCAACAAACATCCAACATCCAACCACTAACTTCTTAATTCAGAATACGACAGGAATCCTCGCTGTGAAAACTAGGTACTTTTGTTTCACCCACCTCCTCATCTCTCTCTCTCTTTCAATTGTAAATAAAATGACAATTACACTTAGAGTGTAAACATTGACTTTAGTTCAACAGCTTCCGTCGTTTTCAGTGCACACAGAGTGAAGAGGAAGTGAAGAGCCATTAAGTAGAGGAGTTGCATTAGTAGAAGGAAGGCAAGATAATAGAGATGAAGATGAAGACAAAGATGAGTGAGGATTAGAGAGGTTTCGCGTGCACTTCGGAATGTGAGGGCGATTGTAACTTCCCGGCTGCCCACACCGTGGAAGTTGGTTGCGTGACCGCAGAACCCAGGGGACAACTGCTTGAGGCCGGTCACATGCAGCCTGTTTTTGTTTGTTCTTTTTCATTTGGTGTGTCTCAGGAGCATATTTATCACTTCTGCCCTGTGACACGGCAGCAGGAAGCGCGGTCGTTAATCCGGGCCCCGACCGATCCGGCATGATATTTTGTGATTTACTTTGAGTCATAGCATTGGGTTGGGTAACTGCTTTTCGTCTAACCGCTATCCAAACAACCTTTCTGGCATGGTAGGACCTACAGGAACATAATTTCCAGCCAGTATAGGTTGTTGGGTCATTGCGGTGTTCAAGCCCGACCACCACGTCAAGGTAGTTCAACAGCAAAAAGATGTCAGAAAAACGAGGGTGTATTTGGTTTTTGTACAACAAAATCGGAATACACTAATAAGCGAATGCATAACCTCGGTAAAATTAATGTAGTAATCTAAAGTAAAAAGAAATTCTGCAGTCAGGTAGGCGAAATATCCTAGAAAAATAAAACCAACATACTTCTGATATCGAACTCGTAGACTGAGTATTAAGCGTTTCCAACACACAAGGAGATTCATCACCAGCTGGGCCAACAATGCTTAGCGAAGTAGATGAAGTGCCTTCAGAGATTTCATCAGATGATCGAGAAGATGATAATACAGGAGTATTACACATATTATCTTGAGGTGGAGTTTCAAAACTGACAGGCAATAATGCATAGTTGAAATTACTTATATCACTAGATTTAGTCATTAATAAATTTGCCTGCCACATTGATTTCATTAAATTGGGCGCTTCTTTTTGAAAAATTTGTTGATCTTCCGGTTCAAAGTACATATTATACGCATTCATTGCTCGAAGCATACTAAAATTAAAACGAAACTTTATTAAGTGAAACTATAATTAAATTGAAGAGACAATGTTATATGCTTATTAACTGTTCAAAAACACATAGAAATGAATAAGGATTACACTTAATGCTTTGGGGGAAGTAAAAACTTAATTTTCTAAGTGTTTTTGTAAATTTATCTAATGACTGACTAACCACTTCACTAAGCTGTTTGGAGTCTTTCACCCATTGTATTTGAAGGACAAAGTGCCACGTGCTAAAATGAAATACACTAAGGAATGTATTTCATCAACATATTAGGGAGCATGTGAATGAAACTAGTAGCGCTGAACACTTAAAGTTTGTACTGATAATTCTGATACTTAACAGTGTACACTTCTGAAGTATGATCTGCATTGACTGGAAATCATAAAATGTATGCTTTCTACAAGAGTTAACGCAATCGAACAAACCTCAGTAAGTGGAAAAACAGCTCAATGTAACTAAGTGTAAATAAAAGTACGAATGGGAACTACAAAAGTGGTTATCGCATTCATGTCCCTCAAAAGTGAGTTTCTTTGGTATTTCGCTCGATTGATCTAATAGGTTGGTAGTGGTAGTAGTAGTAGTAGTAGTTACACGTGAATGGAGGCATATTCCCAACCCTATCAATTAAACTATAAGCATAGTAGAACGTTTTCAGGAATTGGTTAAACGCAGTAAACTGTTAGGAAGTATACAAACTTCTTTAAATTCTCCTGTGAAGTTCAGTCATTTCTCTTCTATATTTTAAAAAATTGAAACAACTGGCCTTGGATTTTTTTTCACTCCTACATTTCGATAAGTAGGTTGACAGAAGGTTGTGGATAAATATATGTGTAAAACTTGGTTGTGGATAAAGTCTGTAATTAGCCAGCGACATTCAGTAGTACGAAAAGCACTGTCAATACGAATTCAGTTTAATAATGCATACAGAGTTCTGAGGCTTACAAATGAATCAGAATCCTATGTACTAAAGAACAGAAAATAAGGATATGTGAGATATGTGGTTATGTAGATGAACACTCTGTACGCCTATAAGATGATTAAAGCAGAGACACTGGATAAATACAACAATTTTCAATAAATTCTTACTGCTGTCTCTATGGAGACACTGACTAGCTGACTTGCAGACAGTGAGCTTTGGCGTGAACAATATTGAGGTTAGGCGTTGAGTGCTAGGTAAGGCGGGGAAATCAATCGACGAGACTGTGAAATTACATCGACTGAGATGGTTAGGACATGTGTTACGTATGCCTAGTCATCGACTTCCTCGACAATGGGCAATGTTAGCTGATATAGGGTCAGGCTGGAAAAGAGCTAGCCAGTGGTGGTCAAACGAAAACATGGCACCAGTCATTGAAATCTACAACAGTTAGTCTAAGCCACGTAGGAAAGTGTAGACTTCCTCGTTCGGGTCCTCGGGATGACGGTAAAAACCAATGGCTGGAAACAATTGGTGACATGGCTCAAAATCGTTCTCAATGGCTGGCGCAGATGGATCCACTCCTTGTGACTTATGATTTCCAATGAAACTGTTTTGTTTTTCGTTATTACTATTCCTTTGTCTCACACCTCTGTTTACCGTCTATATTATGCATTTCTCTTTCTCTTTCTTCTCTTGCTTTGTGTGCTACATGGGGTGTGACGACTTGAACTGCCGCACATAGGTGGAAAGTTCTATGTCGAAAACCGACCGACCGACCGAGCTTTGGGTTTCAAACTCAGCTCAACGTCAGCGCATTGGACACTGGATAATATCAGAAACCCTCACACAAATAAATTCTCTTCATTCTCCATGATGTATTTATTCAGGATGAAATCATTCTCAGTGCATGGGAAAGCAACAAGCACAACTGGGGGGGGGGGGGATTTCATCAAGTAGGAAAATAGTGAAGAATAGAAGACATTGGGGATAACACTAGAAAATAAATTACTGAATTCATATAAAGTCATAATCATATAGCCTTTTATTATTGATTATTATGCCTTTCATTAACACAATGATACACCTAACCGCTAAAACGCACAAATGCTCAATCAATCTATCACTACAGTAGTGACTTCAACTGTAATTTTATAATATTCACTGTTAAATCATTCAACGAAATAAATCCACTGTCTGGTTCATTGCAATGTTCAAATTTCAATTGTTTTCCCTGAAAATGAAATTCTTTCATCTAAGATATACCAAGGATTTTATGATATGTTTATCCAGTGTGAGTAATAGCCTAGTGATAAATGATATATTTGATGTAAAGAAAGTACATATTTTCAATCCTAAAAAATTTATCAATGAAAAAGCACTAAGTTTTATTTATCTGTAATATGAACTAAAACAAACAACAAAAGATTAACATCTTTTTTTCACTTACATGCACATAGCCTCATACTCCAAACGTAGTTGAGCATGACGAAATTTTGATTGACTGAAAAATGAACGTACAGTTTCATGAATACTTCTAGCTGCTTTGCATGCATGTACATATTCTGAACATTCACAAAGGAAATTTGCTATTTTTAAACCGAGTAATGCAGCAGCTACCACTTCTGGAGCAGTGTTACGTTTTAGTCGTGTAGCCCGATGAAGAACTTCACGTAAATTCGAGACCAACTTGTTAGACAATGTATGAGGTTCCACAAGTGGGGAGTAATCTGAGTGTTTGAAAACTACACTCATATAATGATGAGCTAAAAGTAGATCAATAATAAATCATATGGATAAAATACCAATTGTTTATAGTAATAGAGAATTTTGCTTAATATATATTATTACAACTAAAAATATGGGCAAAAAACAAGGAAAAACTAACATGATGCTAATAAGTTGTAAGTCAAGGAGGTGACTAATTTAGGTGCTTTAGCGGATGTCTTCACCAATTCAGCTTGTGCCGTCTAACATCCCCATTCACACAACCGGAAGTTAGCTAACTGTCAGTGTGCTACATCTAACACATTCAAATCGATTGTCTCAGAAAAGTATTTCAGCTAAATTCTACATCTGTCACCAAGATATCCATACATCATATACATTTGTTCAGGAACTCAAAATATCAGATTCCCAGACTACCTTTCCCCGACCGAAAGCTGCTACCTTGACGTGGTGGTCGGGCTTGAACACCGCAATGACCCAACAACCTATACTGGCTGAGACTTATGTTCCTGCAGGTCCTACCATGCCAGAAAGGTTGTTTGGATAGCGGTTAGACTAAAAGCAGTTACCCAATCCAATCCTATGACTTCAAATAAATCACAAAATATCATGCCGGATCGGTCGGGGCCCGGAGTAACAACGACCGCGCTTTCTGCTGCCGTGTCACAGGGCAGAAGTGATAAATACGCTACCGAGACACACCAAATGAAAAAGAACAAACAAAAACAGGCCGTGTGTGACCGGCCTCAAGCAGTTGTCCCCTGGGCTCTGCGGTCGCGCAGCCAACTTCCACGGTGTGGGCAGCCGGGAAGTAACAATCGCCCTCACAATCCGAAGACTACCTTTGGCTATTTTAATAAGACAAAGTCTGGAAATGTTTCATACTCTGCTATTCCAGAAATAATCGACTGAGCGTCATTAAACCACCAAATTCTATCACAAAGAGACTAAAATAACAAGAAGATTATGATTGTTGTCTACCCAAACCGAAATGTGACTGGAGTGAAATGACAAATGAATTCACAATCGACACTGAGACGATATACACGTGGTGGATGAGATGAGCACTTCAAGTGTCTAAACACAGAAACAAGTCATCTAGGCGAGCAATGTTCACAAATCCAATAATGAAGATCACCAAAAGCAACAAGTTTCATTAGTACAACCAGATTAAACATGCTGCCTTTCATCCTTTTCTTATCATTTGAATATAGACCAATTATTCTGATTATTATTCAAAAAAACAAGGCTCACACAGTCCAGACACAAGAAATGCGCTGATTAAAAAAAACAACGACAGTAATAAATGAAGAAATAAAAGAAACAGTCACAGAAATAACGGAAACGTAGACATTTTCTTAAAGCTTCTGTACGGATGTATTCACCACCTCACGTTTCCCTTGACGTTTGACGAGACAAGTGGACTACAGCACGACTACCACTGATTTCGATTCTTAACATAATTTAATAAAGTTTCGATCCAAATTATGCTAAACCGATATCACTGTCAATCGCCCCACGATCACACACCATGGACTGATCACCCGTGCGTCTTTTCGAACAAATTCTAGGAATGCCAAGAAGTGAAAGGGATTGGAACCGCTGAAACGAGACTCGCGACACACTTACAAGCCAATGAGGGAGATGTTTCAGGATCATATCGCTCAAAGACAATGTTTACCTTGTCCGAACATGTGCAGTGGGACTCAAAATTACTCGGTAGTTTCACTACAGTGGTACAACACGTAGGATCTCTACACCTCCATAGCCGTGCAATCTCGACGTTCTACGGCCAGAATAACAACAACAGCACCAGAAGTGAACCAGACTGGTATATGGTGTCGTGAATTTCTATATCTGACTAAACATTTTGCCATTTATACCTCCACAGGCACTCACACGACTAAACACAAACAATTTTTGACTATTGATGAAGCAATGTCTCTAAAGGTGAAGGTAGTCATGAACACCCATCAATTTCGCAACTTTACATAGCAAATTGCTTGAACTAAAGTTAACCTGAATACAATCAGCTGTTGACAGTAGATGGTTCTGCTGCAAGAGTCAGTCTGAATCACAGTGTGGTAGGTTAAAATCCTCTTAAATTTCTCAACTTACAAAACAATTATACCAATTGAATTCACCTTAGAATGGTAACTACATCTCATGTTGCACATGAAACACTGTCAATTATCTGATTTTACAGATAGGCAACAGGTGTCACGAAAATAGTGGTGAGTTGGTTTTCTGGACAAAAGTTGTACTTACAATCTAGAAATTTTGAGATTTTCCTAATTGTCGAACGCGTCTTCTACAATTCCAACAGACGGTAAATATAGTACTATATGAAAAGTTCCTTTCATTTATCATAACAGTGAAACTTAATAATTGTAGAACACACGGAATCTTGTGTTGCTGTGGAATCAGTCAGCTTGCTATACGTCTTATTTCTATCTCAAGTGGTTCACGATAATGAAGTCATAAAAATGAATCTACGGAGCCAAAAGCTTGGAGAATATTTTAAGAACGAGAACATTGTAACACACAAAGTTTATAACGCACCGCTTCGGTCTTTTCATGACTGAGTCAAGCAGACAACTGATTGATCTCAATCTAAGTGCTATGTCGAAAGTTTGATTGTTCACGATGAACTGTACTGAATGTAGAATGATCTTCGGTGTGGTTGAGTAGGTTTCCTTACCCAACATACCCACCATCGTGCCAATGAAATACAGGTTTGACTACAACTGATATCTTCTCACTTGATTTGTGACCAATCCTATTACAGATAATACTGGTCCTACACCTGACTCTTATCGGTTGGTTCATTTTTGTGCTCTTTGTAATACACCTTTGGTTTTTTGCTGCACAATTTTGATACTGTAAGTACAGTAGGCGGTAAGCGGAAATTCCTCAGTCACTCAGATTGCTGAAATTTGTGAATTACTGCCTAAGGCCAAAAACATTAGGCGACGTCTTACGGTAATTTGATATTCATGTATAGCTAAACTGCAATACATGGAGCATAGTGAATAAAAAGGCCAGAACAAGACGTGTGAGTGATGAATTTAATTCTAGCCTATCTCTAAACATCAAGGTTGTAATTTTTTATCATGAGTGTCCTGATCTTGAGCAGTGACTGTTCTGACGACCTTTAGTTACCAATACTCGTGCGGAGATCATTCTCCTCAGAGGATGATCCACCAATTAAATCTACGAAATTCCATGATCCCATATATTTTAAATTAATTTAGTCTCTATACTAGAATGTTTGGATCTGCAATTCAACCTCCAACCTGGAAGAGATAAATAAGTATTTATAAATTATATGAGGACCGCGACACTTAATCCCAATTATTGCAAGCCAGCTAACAGACACACCACGCGTTAAGTGAGAACCAAACAAGTTCGCCTAGTTAAACAAGGGGATCGTCGAATATGCATGAATTACTTACCACAAAATATTCCTTCCAATAAAATGAGGGATTGAGCGGAAGCAACGCTAAACACTTCAAATCTTTTTCCAACAACCATGTCTCACAGTCGCGAAAGTAAGACGCAGAGAACTGATACATAGTAAACAGGTTATTTAATGAATAGACGAATATCACGCCGTTCCTCCTAAAACTGACAGTCCAAAACTATTGAACACTTCAACTTCAGCCTCAACAAATATTCCGTTGGAGGAAGCTAGTCTCAACAAATTTAATTAGAAAAAGCGCACTATAGATATTTTACTGAAAATCATATATTAAATACTCTGTAGAGGATCGAAACTGCAAACCGACTGGATATATAATTTTGGGAATACATATCAAACATATTGTCTAAGATTACTACGATAATATCTTGTAACTCGGTGACCCAGAGCTTCAAAGTAATAGTTACAAACAGAACAGAACTTGAACATTGTGGTTGACTATAATTCTATATTAGATGAATTTATTTCATATATCTTATTAAATTGACATATCATTATAAACAAAAAATTGGACTAGAAACATTTCTCAGTTAATAATATAAGTGTACAACATCAAATAAACCTAGGAAATAACAAAGGACTTTTGAAACAGACAAAAAAGGAAGCCTAGTTGGGAAACAGACAATTCAGATCATCACCTTTCTCGAAAGACTGAATCAACAGGAGCGGAAAAACATGAAACTAAAAACATTCGTGAGCTTTTGCGAATGATTCTAGGTTATATCACCAGCATAGTAGTACTGATTATCGTCTCTGTGCAAATACTTAACAAGAAGCCAACATTCTTCAGACTTACAGTCGTAGACTTAGTCGGTGCAAAACATAAGAATCTGGTCGCCACTAACTTTTTTCCACCTACTGCGATACAACCATCAAATACCCAGAGCCTAATTTTCCCCCTGTCAAATTTTAATCGCGGAGTCTCTTCATTTCAAAATCTGGATGATTACCTAGCTTGATAGTTTCATCTCAAAGTAACCGTTATTGACAAATATCTTCCTTGAAAAGTAATAACCGATGAATGCAATCCTATGATTTTGGTGCTATGGTAATGAAATAACATCAAGCTTTACTGAGTAAGGCAGAAAATGTAAACAGTCATGAAAACATACCTTCTGTGTTTACGCCACTAACACCATAGAAATGAGCATGTTGCATCCAAGAAGAAATAAATATCTGTACATCTCTAAAGAATAATCATCGGTGTGAATGCTATACAAACCTGCAAGTGTCATACATCTTGTTGAAAATGTGAGGATCCGCCAAGAAGTTGAAAACAGTCTGAAATGCCTCCGAATTCACCTCAACAGGAACTATCCGGTGATAGAGTAAGTGTGACATTGGGAACCAATATATACAAAAATTCTAAGGGTAAAAATTATAAGAAAGAGACAAGTACCATTATTATATACTGTCGAAATAACTTTTCTGGCAGCCCAAGTAGAGAGTTGACTGTGAAGTTAGGTGGTGGGTTTTCTGTTAGTGACAGCAAACACAGGTTACTAAGCGATAAATCCTTCTGAAACACGAGCTGCTTTAATTTTCTAGATATCTCATATTGAGTGAACGTTCCATAGACAGTTTTAACTTCATTTTTATTTTCGAAGTGATTAAATTGGAAAAAATACTCCAACTCCAGTGGAGATGAGAAAGGCAAGATATTTGAAAATAACTTAAAACACTCATTGAGTTGAGGCTTTAATTTCCATCCGGAAGGTATGTTACCTAGAGCAATTTTTGATAGACATATAAGCGGCGAAGAATTATTGTCCTGAAACATAGGTGTAACGCAACATTAATGCATCCCGCCGATCCGACGAGTTGTTTCCAATATCCAATATCCAATATCCTGATTACGAGCTAGTATAAACCAGTGATTTCTTTGAGCTCGCTTCTTGATTTTAAGGTAGAGGTTCCAGATCTTCGGTGAACTTATGCGTAGTAAATCCCGCCACTCGACTGCTTTAGCTCTGGTAGACTCCAGGAGGAGTGATGCGAGGATTGGTCAAGATTGTGGTTTGTAGTGTGCAGTATGTTAGGACTCAGCTGCTGCCGTGAATGGAGTTTGACCTAACACCCGTCGGTCATTCGGTATAGTCATAAAAGTAGAGTAATAATAATAATAATGATAATGATAATAATAGGTTGTAGTGTAGATAATATAGGTTGAGATAAGTGAAATAATAAAGAAAGAAAGATAAAGAAAGAAAGATAGAGTAGTCGGTACAGTGGGAGAAGACAGGACGGGTCGTGAAGATTTAGCTTGTATGCTTGTCCATTGACAATGTGGTTTCAAATTTTAAGAGGGTAAGCCATTGAGACACAAACCATGCATTTCTGCATGATTGTCCAGCTTCCGCTTAAAAATCTCCACAGATGGAGCTGTAGTTACGGCCGCCGGTAAAGCGTTCCAGAGACGGCAAACTCGAAGCGAGAAGAAATGTGAACGCACTCGAGTCCTTGGTCTCTGGTGTGCTATCCTTAGCGGGTTACCTCGTGGAAGCCTATAATCACTTAATGGCAGGATGCTCTTGTTAGGATGGGCCTGGTCATTTAGGATCTTATAGACGGTGATGAGGTCTCCCCTGTGACTACGGTAACTAAGTGTGAAAAGACTTAATTTCTTCAGTCTCTCCTCATATGATTTGTTGCGGAGGCCGATCACCCATTTTGTCGCTCGTCTCTGGACACTTTCTAGCATGTTAGTATCCCTTTTGAGTAGCGGAGGAGCAATGATATTATGCACCTCAAGGAGTGGCCTCACGTATGTCGTATACAACGTTAGGAATAGTTCAGGAGTAAGAGCTCCCAGTTGCCTATGCATAAAGTGTAAAGTGCCGTAAGCTTTGGCGACGTCCCTCGTGTAATTTACACTGGTGTCTAGCTTTTCTGTTAAAATAAGGCCTAGATCGCGTTCTGATGGCACACAACTCAAGTTCTGGCCACCAAGGGTGTAATTTGCACTCTGTGACCTGCCGGAATGAAGTTGCACTACTTTGCACTTCTTTAAGTTGAAAGGCATTCCGTTAGCCAGAGCCCAGTCCCCCAGCGTTTGCAGGTCAGCCTGCAATCTGTCGGAGTCTTCCGATGAGTTTATTGCTCTCCAAATCTTTACGTCGTCAGCGTAAAGAAGCGCAGAGCAATTCAGTTGACAGGGCAGGTCATTGATAAAAATCAAAAACATCAACGGCCCTAAGATAGAACCCTGAGGAACCCCTGATGCCGAGGTGTGCCAGGATGATCGGATGCGGTTGACTTTGGTGCAGAATTCTCTCTCGCCTAAATAATCTTCCAGCCATGCGAGAAGTGCTCCAGAAACACCCGCTTTGCTTATTTTGTGAAGGAGCAGACCATGGTGAACTGTGTCGAATGCTTTCGCAAAGTCGAGAAAGATCACATGGACTGGTACCTTTACATCCCAGGATAGTGTCCAATCGTTCCAAGCTAGTAGAAGATTCGTCACACAGGATCTTCCCTTCCTGAAACCATGCTGTGCTTCATGGAGTAGGTTAGTCCCGTCGAAGTATTTTCTCATGTGGTCGTCAATGAGACTTTCGAATATCTTCGATATCACTGGGAGTAGCGCAACTGGTCTGTAACTGGTCGCGTTCTGCCGGTCACCACCCTTGAAGATAGGGGATAGGATGGCTCGTTTCCATTCACATGGAAGTTTTCCTACATCAAAGGAGTGTTGAAACAGATCACTTAGGGGTTGGCAGAGACTTTCTGAACACTGCTTCAGGACGGATGGTCTTATGTCGTCGCAACCTGCAGACTTTCCCGAAGCCAACTTTCCCAATTTTATGAGTACCATAGCCGGGGTAATTTGAAATGTACCCAGCAGGTTTTCGCACGTTGGTCTTGCATTGTAATCTTGATGTTTTGTGAGGGTAAAATCCTCGTTACTGTTCAGTTGCCTGTGAAAGGCTAGACTGAATGTCTCTGCCATTTCAAGACTAGTAAGAGATTTCCCATCAGAACCCACTATATTGCAAGCTCCCTGGTTGGTCGGTTTTCTTTCAGACATAAACCTGTATAGGCTTTTGGGGTTCACGAGAAGCTTATTGGCGAGGTTTCTCTGAAATGTCCTTCTATCACTCCGGACTCGTATGTTACACCGATTCCTGAGTTCGAGGTACTCTTCATGTTCGGGTTGACTCTGCGATACTCGCCACGCAAACCAGGCTTTTCGCTTCGCCTGTAGAAGGCGTTGTGTCCCCCTTTTTAGCCATGAACGTTGCTTTCTAGCTTTAGGTGTGACCAAAGGAACAGTGTCTGAGATCGCCTGGTGAATGATCTCCTTTACCACTCTCCAGTGTTCTTCTACTGTAAGCTCTGTCCAATTTTTTGGCCAATTTGCTTCAGACAAAAGTCTTCGCATTTCGGTGTAATTGGCTTTGTTATAACACAGATAGGGCTGTGTATTGTCCCACTGTAAACGCTCGCGGAGGACTATGTCGAATGTTATGACCGCATGGTCACTACTACCTATGGGAGTCGTGATCTGAACGTTTTCCACTAGTAGCTGGTCACTAGTGAGCACGTAATCCAGTCTAGAAGACTTCCCATCTGGGCCCCATCTAGTATCCATTCTGACATTTTCGGTGAATCCGGCCTCCGTGATGGTATGCAGCAGATTTCGATCAAATCTGTCCTGGGCACATCCCGTCATCAAGTTAAGAGATGGGGCATTGAAGTCTCCAGCTATGACAATTTGATCATAACCCAGGTCATGTGTCGCTGAAATTGCATTCAGCAGTACCTGGTTGTGGTCTGCTCCACATGAAGGTGATCTGTAAATGCTGCCCACTAGATACTTACAGTACCCAACGGTGAAATGGCACCATATGGAGTCAGGGAGCTCAATGAGGGGAGGGTCGATTGCATGGACACATCTGAGCTGTTTGTCGACGTATATGGCGACTCCACCTCCTTCTTTCAGATCCCTATCTCGCCTGACAAGGACCATATCATTTATACTGACTTCGCTGTCTGCCACCGTAGGGGTTAGCCAGGTTTCCGTCAGTATTATGATTTTGGAGTTCAGCTGTGATTGTAGGTATCTAAGTTCAGCTATTTTGCCTCTTAGACCTCTCACATTACTGTACAGGCAACTGGTAGTCAGTCTCACCACGTCCCCGTATTGGGGGGTGGTTGACGTGATGTGGGCTGTCGGTTGAGGAGTTATCCTACGAACTAGTTGGCCGATTCCCCGGGAACCGGCCTGTTGGAGTTTTTTTCTTCTGATTCAATCGGAGCACTTGGATGGCACTGGCTATCATCGTCCGTGCTGCACCGCTGTATTGTGACTAGGGGTTGGGGATGTTCTATGACAACGTTTTGCTCTCTCCTTTGGGTACGAGGCCGGCTCTCGCAGCAGCGAATGTGTCTGCTGACCTTGTCTTTGGTCTCGTACCATCTCTGGAGAGCAGTAGTCAAGTGGTCTCGGGAGCTAAACTTAACAGCTAACAGATGTGGGGTGTTAATTGACATTAGGTGAGTGGGTCGAGGCAGTCTAAAAATAGAGACAGCCCCTGAACTTCCCAGACCCATCTGGGATGCCAACCATCTCCATTGCTGGACATCGTGACAGTGCTTCTCACAAGCGTTCCCAGTTTCCAGTTCAGGAATGCCGTGAACAACCATGGAGGCAGAAGGAATAAGCTCTGGCGACTCCCTCGCCATCTGTCTTTCCTTCCATGGCCTATCTGGCCTAACACGTATATTGCAGGTCCTCCCTATAGAAAGGACTTGGGAAGTCAATAAAACTTTTTCGGCATCTTCGGCAGAGCCTAGTGTTACCCTCAGTGGGGATGGTTTGCCTTGAGGAGCAGCAGTGCCCTTATACAATCTGCACAGTTTTACTGGTTGGATGTCCAGACCCAGTGTGCTACATAAGTTGGACCACTGTTCCTGATCAAACAGGGCCCTGTTTTCCAGCAGACTACTGCTACAGTCTGGTACATTAAAGAGGATAACGCAGTTTGATCGACTGACCGTGGATTTAGGTTCGGTCCTCGCACATTTGTCATCCCCCTTAAGACCGTTTTGTTTCATCTGGTGCAACTGGGTATTATTATGTGTCGCAGTGCTGTGGCCACTTTTACTGGTGGACGGTAAGGGTCTTTTCCCGGCGACAGGTACCCTTGGTGCTTCAACCTCTGTGTCTGGGGCAGTTATGGCAGGAATTGCAAGTATAACCGGTGTGGATTTTGGTATCCCCGATTTACATGCAATTGTGCTGTTTTCTGAGTTGGTGGGAGTGAAACGTTTCACGTTTTTTCCTGATATCTCTATGACATCTGTAGCTTTCGAGGAACTACACGAGGCTGCATTAGGACGGCAACTTGGGCAAATGTACCAGAACCATGGGCATGGGTTCTTACGCATAAAATCGTAATATACCTTTGGTACCCCGGTGTCACATCTACAATGTACCCATTGCTTACAAAAGTTACATTCGAAAGCAGAATCTGCTTGTTCGACAATAGAATTGCAGACCTTGCAATCGTCTGCCTTCTTGGGGAACGTTGTAGTCGTCTTGCGACGTCGTGAACGTTTCTTATTGGCCTTCCTGTTTGTTTCAAGGCCTACTGTGGATATAGGTGTCATACTATTCACCTGTTTGCTTAGTTTGGCTGAAGCTCTGGTGACTACGGTGCATGGTCTCCCATTACTTATCTTGGGATGAGAATCTATAGTCATTTTACTCCTAAAATAATACTGATGATTAAATGATAAGAGAGAGTGGAGTTTTGTCCAATAGACTGACAGCAAAAGACAGTAGAAAGCACAGAACAGAAAGATAAAGTATATAAGTAAAAGCT